TTGTTTTCATTTTGTAGATACCCCAATCCGACCCATTTATTTCAACTTATCCACGACCCAGCTCTCCAACAACCCTCTGAGTGTCGTACGCACCAGTTTCTATTATTTTGTTTGCCAATTTTCTACTCCCATGTTCTTACCCTGAGGTAAGCAAAATATATCGTTACAAACCATAATAACGAACGTACCATCAATCGAGCAAAATTTGGGCAAATACTTACGCTGGTTTGGAAAAACGCAATAACGCAAAAAAATATTTGTTCTGGATTTGAAGCAACTATAATATGACCATTCAATCCAAATGCTATTCCGGATACTTTGCACCTAGTTGTCTGACACAACGAGAGATTGAAACAATCGCCGAAGATTTTTAAGAAAATCCTACAACCGAACCAGAAATTAAAACAACTGGCAAAAAGAATACAAATTTCGAAGAACAGCGGTGTAAACAAATGACCTAGTGATTTGTTTTTTATGACTGGATCAGATAGTCAATAACTGATTAATACCTGCAATAAATTATATACTGACCTCTATCATTTCGATAAAATGATAATTTGTCGAGGAATTAAAAACTGGAGACATCCAATAGTTTTTGTATTAGATTTATTTGATCATAAGCTTGACATATAAAGATGAGTTTCGAGCTTAAAAGAGCTATCTTAAATGTATGTTCATTACATGTAATGAATCTATTCACGATAGATTTTAAGAGCATCAAAAACCAACCGCAAAATTCTGAAGTCAAAACTATCCGTTTTTGTTATTATTGTGGTTGCCTATGATATTGGTCATGCATACAATCCCAAACCGCATAAATGTATAATGTTTATTTGGAAAAAATAATGGATTTCTTGTTATTGTACGAAATCTATAGATCTGTATTCTGCTTCATGTATATTCGCATACTTTTATCGTATAGTTTTTGATAACTTGCTATTGGGAAGTACAATTTTACATTTTAATTACCATATTTTTGTTTTAATTTAGCAAAAAAGTACCTAATTTTGAAAAATTCTACATAAAAGTAATTGTTTGAGTAATATTTAAATATAGGTCTGCATTTACAGAATTGTGTTACTCATAACAATTAAAAATGTACATAAATTAACTGCTTAAATAATCCCTATTTCATTTTATTTCGTCAGTAGATGACCGTTGATAGTAATTAGCAGAAAATATCAATTTCTTCGTCGCTTCCTTCTTTTGTTTGAGTGTATATTTGAGCTACGTTACCTTTTGGATGTTAGGAGGATATTAAGCTATGGATATTGCTTTCCTTCCCTGTATGTTTCGTAACATGTGAGCCCATACTCGTATATATTTAGTTTCCACAAGGTCTGATGTGTTCCCCACTTTTGTAATATATTTTTTATTTACGTTTCTTTTTAGTCCCCATAGTGTATATAGGGTATAGGGTGTAAGTAGGGTCAGGGCTAACGAGGAAGGGAGAAATGGTCCTCCGAAAAGGGGGTTGGGCGAAACCTTCAGATAGGCCTCGAAATGGATGGATATCAAAACGACGACTTTGGCAACGAAATATGGAATTTATGCTGGGAACATAGAATGTCAGAACGCTAAATAGACCAGGAGCACAGAGGATCCTTTTACACGAACTAAAAAGATATAAAATAGGAATCACTGCAGTACAAGAAACTAAATAGTTGGAAAAGGTATCCGAAACACTAAAACACACCCTATACTGTATAGCGGTGGCGGTAGTTTTAGGGGAAGAGACAAATCCTTGCTTATGACGAGCTTTTTCATATTGGTAAATGCTGATCTAGCTCGTTCTATTCTCGCCTTAATTTCTGTGGCTGTTCCCATTTTGTATTTACGCTGAGCCAAGGTAAACATAAGATTCTACATGGTCAATTAGTATGTTACTTATCCGTAATTGTCGAACAGGTTGTTGCTTTTTGCTTATCAGCATCCACGTTGTCTTCTTGAAGTTGAGGCTCAGTTGAGGCGTATTCCTCACTAACTGAATAAACTCTTTCCATTACTTGTTGTAATTCGTCTATGGTACTGGCAAGGATCACCGTGTCGTCGGCATATCTTATATTGTTCGTTAACTCGTTGTTTATTTTTATGCCCTCATTTGCATTTTCCATACATTTGTTAAATATTTCCTCGGAATAAATATTGAATAGGAGTGGGGATAAGATACACCTCTGACGGACACGTCTTTTGATCTGCACGCTTGCAGTGAGTTCGTTGCCAATTTTTGCTCTTGCTGTTTGACCCAAGTATAGGTTTGCCACAATTCGAATATCCTTGTCGTCAATACCTGTCTTTCGCAGAATATCTATCAATTGTTCATGATTGACATCGTCAAATGCTTTTCTAAAATTCACAAAGCACAAATACACGTCCTTATCAACGTCTCTACATCGCTGTATAAGTACCTGGAGAGCGAAAACTGCTTCTCTAGTTCGAAGTGCTTTCCAAAACCAAACTGCGATCTATCACTATTAACTCGCATTTATCATATATTATTCTATGAATGAATGATCTATAGTGAACGCTTTAGTGACATGATTGATCAGGCTTATAACCGGTAGTCATCATAGATGTGGGCATTTGGTTTCTTCGGGATTGTAATAAATATTGACTGCATCCAGTTCTCCAGGATTTTACCGCTATTATATATGTGGTTAAAAAGTACAACTAGATTATCAAGCAACAGTTTGTCTGATTTATATAGGATCTTTAATATTTCGCAGGGTACATTGTCTTATTGTCTGCTGACTTATTGTTTTTTCAAGATGCTCTATGATTTTCAATACGACTTAAGGATTGAAGGTTCTGTTTCTGCTTCTCCATATAGGTGATCATCAGTCCTGTCAGATGCAAATAATTTTTCTATGTATGATTTCCGTGTTTCTAAGATCATTGATGGCTCCGAGATAAGATTTCCATCGCTATCTTTTATGCTTATGGGTGACTTATTGAATTTCCTCTTGTTTGTCATTGATTTTATTTTTTTTTGTGCGTATTGTAACTGTCGTATTTACGTTCGTATTGTTCTATTTCCCTGCATTTGTTGGAAAACCATTTTTCGTTGGCTTCTCGAATTTTCGTTCTTATGTTTTTGTGGATCTGCCGGTATTTATCTGCATTTTTATTCTTGAATTTACGTCTTTCATTCATCATATCATTTATCTCATCAGACATCCATTCTTTCTTCTTCTGTCTGTCACACTTTAATAGAGTCGCGCATGTTGTTTGGATTTCTTCCCTTGATTTATCCCATCTCTCTATCATGTCCGACGTGTTCTCATTAATGTAGTTATTTTCTTTCCTAGTTGTTCTCGTACTTTTATTTCGGTTTCTGTGTTAGTGAGTGTTTTAATAGCAATTAGATCTTTTCTGGAGCCGTTTTACTCTCCTGACCATTCTGCATACCAACAGATTGTGGTCCGTAGGAACATAAAACGTACCAGGGTTCGTTTTTGATGATTTTATCATGTTTTTATATCTTGTTGGTACTGCTATATAATCTATCTGATTCCTTATGATGTTGTTAGGTGAGTCAGCGGGAGATTTCCATGTGTAAAGTCGACGTTTGGGGAGCTTGAAGAGTCTATTACTTAACAGCAGGTTATATTCCTGGCAGAAGCATATAAGTCTATCACCTCTATCGTTTCTCTCCCCTAGGCCGAGGTTTCCCACGATCTCATTCATCTTGCCTCTGCCAACCTTTGCATTTAAATCTCTTATCACTATTGTTACTTTATGTTTTTTTGTCATTTTCATCAGGCTTCCCAGTTGTTCGTAAAATTCTTCGCTGGTTGCCTTATCTTTATCTGCCTTTGGCGCGTATATCTGTAATATGTTAATATCCACCGGTGTTGCTCGAATTTGTAAAAGTATTACCTATTCTATCTGAATGGGGAGTGAAAGATTTTACTGCTGAATTAATATGTGGGTCAACTATTATTGCGGTTCTGTTTCTGTGATGTGTTGTGTTGTTTCCAGCATAATAAACTTTATATCCAAGTATATCGCATTGTCCAGAGTTTTGCCAGTGTGTTTCACTAATTCCCAATATACCAATTTTTAATATTTTCATCTCTTTTACAATGTTATGAGTTTTGCCGCTCTCGTACATACTTCGTACATTCCAAGTTCCAATTCTTAGGTGTTGAGGACTTACTTCCTTTTTTAGGCCGTAGGGATTTCACTGGATGACGACCTGGGAGGCCCTACTATTTGGTTGTGTGCATCCTCCTCTGCCGGGTCTTGGGATCCGATCACCATGATCAGTAATGTTTTTGTTATCGTAGTGTATTGCCATGATAACTATTATAGGAAATTCATCTCAGTACTCAAACTCATCGCAGTACCACAACCATTCAAATGGCTCTAGTCATGCTTGTGGTAGTCCAGTTTCGAGCCGATCCAGGATTATTTCCTCTGCGCCTTGAGCTGGTACATATGATCGCTGCTGTCCTTCATCATATAGGGAGGGATAGGAAATGGGTAATTAGAGTTTTTTTTGAAGGACAAAGGGATGGGACATGGTTTCTCTCAGTAAAGAATAGAGAGCAAATCATGGTTCGCGTAGGCAGGGTCTCTTCCCTGAAGTACACCTGTTTTCTACCGGAATCGTAGAAAAGTGTTTACCCGCTACCCGCACTGCTACACTGCTAGACCATTTTATGCCCTCGCTAATGATCTAATTCAAAATTTCTGAGGATGCATGATAGACACGTGATTTCTACTTTTGACCACTTACGACGCGTGATTTGTGATTTTTAGTTCCATTAAAATTTGCCAGACGTTCCAATAGTTATAACGCATCCTGTATAAAAACTAAAATATTCAAAGATAAACAACAATAATAATCAAGTCAACATCATAGTTGTATTGTATAATTTTGCATTTTATTTAAAACCACTGTGTATATATATCTAACGTTTTTGTTGTCTACTATCATCAGTCAAGGTTTTGAATAATTATTTATGTATAAGTTAGAATTTACAAAACAAAATACCGGCAGTCGAGGAAAATACGGTGTATCGAATGCGTCATCTCTACAGATTTCGCGCTTCGCGTTGGAGAGACGGGAATATCCGCAAGTAAATTCGTCGTTTTTAGTCCGCGGTTGTAGGAATTTTATTAAACATCTGACTTCGCAAACGAGTCGGACAAAACAGATAATAAAAGCGGTGCGTTTGAATAATTATCATTTCAAATTTGACCTCTGTTCAGTGCGCGCCCATTTTTGTGTTTAAAACTTGATTTTCGTACGTACTTCTACCTGTTTAATATGAGTGTGGCTTATACGGCTTTAGATCAAGGACGCGGCGGTGATGACCGTGCAAACCAGCCAAATGATGGTCATTCAGCGAACAGTGCACCCATGGCGAAGGCCGAGATAGACGACATCGACGGTCCTACCGAAGATGCGAACCGGGTCGCTGGAAGTAATAACGTTGACCCAGTTTCACATACAACTGTACCTGACATCTCAGTCACCGACACAAATGAGCTCAAACTGAATAATTCCGAAGACCACATGGATGGTCTTCATTTAGGAGATGATCTCAATCACGAAATCGACGGAGTACATCATCTGAGAGACTTCCGAGTGGGCACCCCGCACTCCGGCATGAATCGCACAGGGTTGAACTTTGACACTGAATTAGGAAGTATCGCAGGAGAAACTATTCCTGATATCAACGTTTACCAACACAAAAAGACTTTGGCTCAAGGTATGATGGATCTGGCTCTCTTTTCTGCCAATGCTAATCAGCTTCGGTACGTGCTGGACAGTTATTCTAGACATCCTTATTACTGGGCTAGTTGCATCTGTATAATTTTTAGTTTGGGATTACAGGTGAGTTTTTAAGTAAACATTTTTAAGTAAAGTCTACATAATAAAAATTCAGCAAATTAAATGACTTTTTTAAAGTTTTAGTTATAAGTGTCTTTTTACAACCTAAAATGTTATGAACTGTATAGTTTTAAAGCCCAATCTATATGTGAAAAAATCATTAATTTTCTAAATTTCGAGTTTCTAAATTTAAATATATAAACAACTGCAAAAAATCTTATTTTTGCAGTATTATTTAAATGTTAATAACTTTGTTTTTTTGCATAATGATATTGTAATCACTTCAAATTTATGAACAAACACATAAAGTTATTTAATTATTTAATTTTTTTATACTGGAGAGCGATTATTTGAACAATTATATTTGTCCAAACAATGATTCTTAAGATATTTTGTTGATCGCAATCGATTCTTTGAGGCTTCAATTTTAAGATATATTAAAAATCGTTAAGATTCTATCAACATTTTTTATCAAAAGTACTGTCTGAAAAGGGGGTGACTTTTTAGCTTATATACATTTATAATAACTTTGATTTTTTTATGTCACACTTTTAAGTAAGCTCACTGGAAAGCTGGAGAAAAAGCACACTTTTTTTTAAACAACTTTCTATGACCAATGGGAACCAAGATAAAACAGCATCTTTTTATTAAAATCATATTCCCTATATATCTATCTATATAAGGATTTTTACAGCTGTAGTCGCCTTCCTTCTTTTAGCCAACGTCTCCAGTCCTTTCTGTTCTGCCATTCTCCATCTCTAAGGTCTCGTCTTTCCATGGCCTCGTCCACTTCATCCCTCCATGATCTTCGGGGTCTACCTCTTTTCCTCCTTCCTATTGGGTTCCAATCCGAAATCTATCCACCCAATAGATACAATATGCTATCCACCTTGTATGATCTGTTCTTCTCACATGTCTATACCAACTTAAACGTTTTTCTTCGATGTAGCTGAGTATGTCTTGTTCTACTGCCATTCTTCGTTTTATCTCCTCATTTCTGATGCGATTTATTTTTGTCCGAACTCCATTTCAGTTGCTGTGATTTTGGACCTGTTTCGTTTATTTATTACTCAATTCTCTGCTCCATAGGTCATTATACTACGTACCAAGGTGTTATAAATTCTCTTCTTTGTATTTCTGGTAATCTTCCTATCCGACAGTACCCCGTTCATTTGCTTAATACATGTTCTTGTCTGTGCTAATCTGCTGGTTATTTCTTGCTCGGTGATTCCATTTTTTGAGAGTATGAATCCTAAATATTTGAATTTTTCAGTGCCGTTAATTTCCCTATCATCATCCATTTCCCAGTTTCTCACTGGTTCTTGCTCTGTTGTTAAATATTAGGTCTTTTCTAGGTTTATTTCCAGTCCAATTTTTTGTGTATTCCTTTTCTAATTTTCGGAGCATATAGCACAGATCTTCTTAATTTCGAGCCGTTACCACTTGGTCATTTGCAAAGCTTAATGTGTACAAGAAGTTGTCCCGGATTGGTATTCCCATCCCTTCACATTTCCTTTTCCATGGTTTTAATATTTGTTCGAGGAATATCTTGTGTCGGAGGTATAGAGCATCCTTGCAATAAGACTTTTATGGTCTTAAATTCGTTAAAGTATTTCTTGCCGGTTTTAACTCTTACCTTGTTGTTGTTGTAAAGGTTTTTTACGGCTTCCATTAACCTCTGAGTTATTCTGATTTCCTTCATCGTGTTCCATAGTTGTTTTCTTGGAACCGTGGCATATGCCTTTTTTAAATCTATAAATGCCATGTGTACTGGTCTATTTTTTGCAATTTTTTTTTCAATTAATTGTTGGAGTGTATATATGTGGTATATGCAAGATCTTCCTGCCGTGAACCCCACCTGATCTTCTCTGATTTGATTTGAGATAGATTTTTCCAGTTTTTCTTTCAGTATTTTTCCATATAACCTGCCTATACATGCTATTACACTGATGCCTCTGTAGTTCTCGCATTTCTTCTTATCTCAATTTTTATGTATCGAGGTTATATATGCTTTGGACCATTTTGGTCCCCCTGATTTTTTGTTCTTTAAAGTCTTTATGACATTCTTTACTTCGATTAATGTTATCTTAATCTGTTCTTCATTCTGATTTTGTTGTTGTTCATGTTCTGTGTCTGTCTCTATGAAATCTGGGCGGTTTTTTTTGTGAGTAGTTCTTTATAGTAGTCTTCCCACTCTTTTTCTGATATGTATTGTACTTGGACCTTTTCGTTGTTATTTTTCCTTAAAGATTTCAGTATTTTCCAGGATTCCAAATTCCTTGTTCCTCCTATGTATTGTTCGATTTGTGCACATGTTTATTCCCATTCTTCATTCTTTTCTTTTGCCCTTCTTCGTTTTACTTCTCTGTTTTTCTCATATTCCCATTGTTTATTAATATTAAGAGCTAAAAATGGAACAGATTATAAATGAAGATCTAGATTTTACGATCTAATTTATAGATAGTATATACAGAGAAGGTGTAAAAATTAATAACCCGTTAAAATGATCGTACTCGTAAAATACCGTCACGTTAAAGTGAAGGGGAGGACTTTCTGAGCCCCATTTTTTTAAATGGAACTTTAAATTGAAGAATGCTGGAAAAATTTGCAATATCTCCGCTTCTATGACACGCACATAATTCATTTTTTTTTAATTCTGTTTAATTTTCTGCTCTTAACGTTAAACAATGGAAATATGACTTTATGAAAAAAATTGCCATCTTGGTTTTTATTGGTCGTATAAGATTCTTTTTTTTTTATTGTGTTTTTCACCATCTTTTCAGTGAGCTTACTTACAAGCACATGACTTAAAAAAGAATATCAAAGTTATTATAAATGAACCGCTGATTTTGGAAACGATCTAAGTCACATTCGAAGAGTTTATCGGAACTTTTTCACTAAAAGTAAAGTTTGAAGTTAATAGATTACATATAATGTAAGAATTTATTAAAAACACAAGCATTCTAAATCGTTACTAAAATCTTTAAATAACAATTTTTAAAATGGACTTACTGCAAAATTAAGGGTTTTTTTTTTAAATCAATCTCAGTCAATTGTTTAAGTATTTAAATTTAAAAACTCGAAAAATTAAAGAACTTTTTCAGATCAACAAATTTTATTTGAATAATTTCCCCTAAAATATATAAGAAACGTTTCATAGACAAAAATATATTTTTTTACTTTTTACGATTGTTTAAAAATAATAATAAACCAAAATTAACTGTACGTCTTGAAAGAGTTTTCATCAGCTATCCTTCATACCTTGTAGAATCTTCAAAAACCTGTACCTATACGATTTTTTCTGCCGTTTTTTTTTCTTCTCATTTATCAACGCTTTATTTTTAAGTAACTTCCTTTTTTTGCTTACTTTTCTTTTTGATTTTATCTTCTTCCTATGCCGTCCCCATTAACGGAGGTTGGCAACCACATTTCTAAAAGTTTCTCTACCTTTTGCAACATAGAACAATTCGTCTACCGTCTCGAATATTACGTAGCTATGACTTCCTCTTTCTACCTATTCCTTTTTTGCCATCGGCTCTACTCTGCATAATGACCTGCAGAAGACTATATTTATCATTCCTCAGTATGTGTCCAAGGTATGCAGTCTTGTGTACTTTTATTGTTTTCAACAATTTCTTATCTCGACCCATCCTTCTCACCACTTCTTCATTGGTTACCTTGGTAGTCCATGGAATTCTCAACATTCTCTGATATATACAAGTTCAAAGGCTTCAAGCTTCTTAACTATTTGCGCTTTTAACATCCATGTTTCTACCCCGTACAATAGTTGGGACCAGAGGTAACATTCAACAAACCTCAGTCTTAGCGCAGTATTCAGATTTTTGTCACAGAACAATTGCTTGAATTTTAAGAACGCTGCCTTTGCCATTTCTATTCGTACTCTGATCTCTTGGTCTGGATCTAATTCTGTGTTGATGGCAGCTCCCAGATACTTATATTTTGTCACTCTCTCTATTTGCTGTCCACCAAGGGTTAGTTGTTCATTTTTTATCGGACTGCTTGATACTCTCATAAATTTGATCTTATCTGTGTTGATGTCAAGTCCCATTTGAATGATTTTATCTGGTTTTGTTATATTTAGGAATTTTGCTGGATATTTGAATATCAGAACATTTACTAAACATTTATGATATTTCTTCAATTTATATATACCAACGACATACTTTAAAAAAACGAACAGATGCTTACACTTTTTCATATATTTTGGGACCTTTATTTGTTGTTTTTGTTTTTTTTTAATTGTTTTTTATTTTGTTTCATTTATTTTTTTTTTTTCAAAAAACTTTTCTTTTCAGCGGTTTGCACAAATTCTTGCTTAGTATTGACCTTTTTATGTAAGTTTTTTTTGGGGATATTTTGTTTTGTTGAGTATAGACATATCAGAAAATCCAATAGGCAGGATCTTTCTATAAATTTTATCCTGCACTTTTGATGCTCTTTATGTTTAATTTACTTTTGTTTCAAGGGTTTTCGTCTCTTTATAGTATTTTCTATTATTTCTTGTTTCAATATTTCTTGTCTTATATATTTTTTCCTTCAGTTAGTAACCTTGAAGGTATCTTTCTTGCTTTCCAGCTTTTTTCTATTAGTTTCAGTATCTTCTTCTTCTTCTTAACATGCCATACACCAAAGTCCTTAGGCGACTATCTCATTACTAGAATTCTGTTCTTGGCGGCGTTACACAGCTCGCCTTTATTGTGTATTGTTGTTCATTCTTTAATATTCCTTAACCAGGAATATATATTCCTTAATAATTGTTTGCGGCCGGCTCCTCTCCTACCTTCGATCTTCCCTTGTAGGATTAACTGTGGTATTTCATATTTTGCTCCTCTCAATATGTGCCCAAGGTAACCAATCTTGCGTTTTTTAATTAATTCAGAGTTCTCTTTCCACGCCGGCTTTCTTAAGGACGTCATCGTTTCGAACTCTATCCACCCAAGGTATGCGCATCATTCTTCTCAATGACCACATTTCAAATGCTT